CTATATGGGGGATGAATTACTATGGGGGATGAATTACTATAGGGGGGATGAATTACTATGGGGGATGAATTACTATAGGGGGGATGAATTACTATATGGGGGATTAATTACTATATGGGGGATGAATTATCTATATGTATTGGGTTCAGAATCTTTTTTTTCTAGATTTTCCTCCTTTAAAATTGGGTGCGTCTTATATTCCGGAGCGTCTTATATGGCGAAAAATACGGTACTTCTCAGTCAAAAGCTGTTTTCTATTCATCCTAACAAAATTAGAACAATTTGCGGAGGGATGTATAATATTAGGAGATGACTTTAACTTTATATTTGATTTTCTATTGGACTCTTCCTCAGGGAAAATTAGGACCCCTTTTCCAGCTTTTCATTCTATCAATCGTAAGCTTCGTGGCCTAAAACTTGTAGATATTTTGGAATACCCTTAATCCTATTGCTGAGGATTATACCTTTTATTCAGTGGCCCACTGCTCTTATAGTTGCATTGGTTATATTTTTATATCTCACCATGCTTTGAGTTGGTCTCCCACAGCAACAATAGCCTCTTGTATATTGTCAGATCATTTCCCAGTCTGTACTTCTTTTTGGCTTCTGTCAGGGACATGTTGGCCATGGTGTAGCTGAGGCTTGTAGCCGCACGCGAATGCGCAGGCGCGGGCCTGCAGGTGCTCGTACCAGGGGCGGACTGATCATTTGGAAACTCGGGCTCTGCCCGAGGGCCCTGGGTCAGTAGGGGTCTCCATGAGATACCCCTAGTACCTTTTTCATAGGCTTTTTTGAGTTTGGGCAAGGACACAGTGAACTCATGATCCCCTATTGCCCCCCATGAGTTGTCAGTCCACCCCGGCTCGTACTGTTGTGCGTGGCTGAGCGCATATGCACATGCGCGGGCGTACATGCACGGAAATGTGCATTAAATAATTCCGGCGCCCACTGGCCAATATAGGTGCAGTGTCAGGGCAGGGCTGTGGAACGGACAGGTAGGCCTAGTGGCAGGGTAACGCACTGACTGACGACAACCACCACCCACAGACCGAAGTCCCTCAGGGCGCGGAGTCTAAGTCCCAGGCTGCCCTTCACCAGGGCCCCTGATGGTGGGGATGGACTTGACGCAGCCAGGGACCAGGTCGCAGCCCCCGAGACACCCCGGCTGCGGTAATGGCCGCCGCCAATGGCGTGTAGCTGGTAAGAATGACGTAGTCAGGCAGGCCGGGTCGACAACAACGGGACAAAACGGTACAGAACAGTAGACAAGAATCACAGGTCACGGGCCAGGTTCAGCAACGGAAGGTCAGATCAAAGGAAAACACAGAGAATGGTCTAGTCACAAGCCGAGTCAGATATGAGAAGAGTCACGAGAGTATACACAGAGCTGTAGCAAGACCAAGACACAAGACACAAGTGCAAAGAGCATGTGCGGGCCACAGGCTTATATGTACTCAGCCACACCCCTCTGGGGGATGGACCTCAGAGACCTGAAGGCATAAAAGATTCCCACCATGCTCTGCAGAAACCCAAGATGGACGCCAGTACATGAAGCCGCACAGTCTCTGAGAAAAGGTAGGACCTTGACATGCAGCAGCTGCACTAGTGAATTGCTGTCTGATCTGCAGCTCCCCCCCCCCCCCCCCCGTATTCCTGTGCCTGATCCTGTGACTGATACCTGTGTTGACCCCGGCTTGCTTCTTGGACTCCCCCTCTGCCTTCTGTATCTGCCTGATCTGTTCCCACCATCACCAACCTTGGCTTGTGACCCGACCATTCTTCTGCCTGCCGTTCATGCCTGATCTGCTTATCTGTTACCGACCCGGCTTGTCTGACCCTGCATACAGTCTGCTACCAGCCTGCTCCACTGCCTGCCTGCTCCACTGCCTGCCTGCTCTGCTACCAGCCGGTCCAGCCATCCCATCTGCCAGCAAAGTGCCAGCAATCCCCGCATAGACTACAGGACTGACTAGGAATTCATACCTTGCCATGCTCTTGTAATTGCTGTTCCAGCTTCAGTGGCCCCCGAGCCAGAGCTGTACAAGTGGCCTTCTTCTGCCGTCAGGCTCACAAGTAAGGTATGTGGCAGCATCCAAATACCATTAAACTTGTTGCATTCAGGCACCTGAACGAGACTCTACTGAGAGATTTGGCAGTACAAATAGAAATCATGGCAGCGAAACACGATTTTAAGATGATCTATATACAGGACCCTACTGCCAAACCAATCCAATGTGAAGCCTTAAATGTGTATTGAGAGGGCTATTAATTAAAAATTGTACCAGGTTGATTAAGGCTAAAACTCTTAAAATCAAGACCCTACCCCGTTAATCCATACCTTAGAGGCCACCCACAAAAAGGTTCCTGGTTCCTCTGCACTACTGTTGCTTTTATCCGAAGGTACAGAACTCTGCATACTACTCAACCAATCATACAGTATATGCGGCATAAAGAGCTAGCTTTTAACCCATTCAGTTAAGCACTGATAGTCCTGAATGTAAGTTCCTAAGATATTATGTCCTTCTCAGGGTCTGGTATATAACTCTGAAGCCATAGCTAAGGCCTTTCAATTATATTACTTCTCGTTATATAACATTCCAGCTACCCCTAAGGTCACTCTTGTGTGTTCATTTTATAACTTCTTTAGGACACTATATACATTCCACTCCCCTTCCAACTCTATCAACTGGTGTGATTGGGGAACCCAAAGCTATTTACGGCCAAAGAAATTACTTTTGTAATTAAGTCTCTTCCATTCAGGAAAAGTCCTGGCCCGGATGTCTTCAGTTTTTATTCCCAATTTCTAGACACTTTGGTTCCAGTTATGGAAAAAAGCTTATAACCTTATTTAGGAAACATGTCCCTTCCTGAGACACTCCCAAGAAGCCCACATAACTGTTGTATCAAAAGCAAAAAAAGATCCAGCATCATGTAGTAACTACAGACCCATTTCCCTTATAATGTGGACTAAAACAACTATGCAAAAGTAATCGCTCTCAAACTGTAGCCCCATATGTCCTCTTTCATTCCTTTAGATCAGGTCAGGTTTGTCCCTTTTAGAGAGGCCAGAGACAACACCACCAAAACAATCACCCTTATTAATTATGCCAGGAAAAACGCCATCCCTTATGCCTTCTCGTAGTTGATGTTGAGAAAGCATTTGACTGAGTCTATTGGGAATTCATCTCTACCTCTTACAGATCGGCACCATCAGGACTGTTAATTAAAATATTGCCTTATATGAAATGCTCTGTGCTGGGGTCAGGATAAGTGCTATTCTTTCTCACCCTATTTATATCCATAATGGCATGCAACATGGCTGCCCTCTTTTGCCTGTGCTCTGCATTCTGGCTGTAGAACATTTGGTGAATGCCATCAGATCCAACCAAACTATCCAAGGGCTTATAACACTGTTCAACAAATTTTTATTTTTTTGCCAGTTTTGGAAACAAAAGGATCAATTTCTTAATGAATTTCACATTCTGAGTTCAAATATAACAATGAAATTTGTCAATTGGCTCTAGTTTTTCTGTAAACGGAAAGTTTTCTACTATAGGCGTAATGACTACATAATGCACAATATATATATAGATAGATGTCTGCACGTGACTACACGCTTCAGGTTCTTCCTCACTTGACTCAACCACGAAGGATTCTGGTGCTTTAGGAATTGGTAGCCCCTCTCCATGAGGAACTGGACGTATTGCCGATGGAATATTTGGATAGTGCAAAGATAACTTTTTCTTCTTATTTAGCCCTTTTACAATTGGAGGCACCATACAAAAGTAACAATTACTAACATGATCTGTTGGCTCTCTCCAAATCATTGGCACAGCGAAAGGCATAGATGCCTTTTTTTCCATTCAACCATTGCTCCAGTGCCGTCCCACAAGAATTGCAGCATATATGTGGTGCCCAGCTCTTGTCCTGGTCTCCTATCTTGCAGCCAAAATACAAGTTGTAGGCTTTCTTAATCATTCCTGTTATCCTCCTTTTTTGTGAGATAAAAGTTATTTCACCGCAGATATAGCAGAAATTATCTGCTTTATTCACACAAGTTCGAGGCATTACTGAGTAGCCTATATAAGCATAAAACGAAATGTAAAGACGAACTCCAATCAGCTACAGATACTGCAGCTTTTATGCAGTGAAGTGATGCAATTAAAGGCTAATATTGCATCATCTCAGTATACATGCAATTTTCTATTGGTCACCAGTATCAATTGCGCAATATGCAGCTGAAGTTGCATCATAATTTTGAATGGCTTACGTCATTAGATGGGTGAATATATCATGGAAACTAGAGCCAATCAACATTTTTTAGGGTCATTTTCGTTTTCAGCACCCCAAAATTATGTAAGATTAGCTAATTTTATGCCCAAAACTTTTTACCTGTTGAACAGTGTAATAGGACAATGTGAAATTAAGATAAGTCTATATGCAGACGATTTATTGTTATGTATATCTAACCCTTCAGTGGCATTCCTGGCTCTTATACATGTATTTAACATTTTTGGACAGTATAGCAATTGCAAGGTAAACAGGCATAAGACCACAGAGTTAAATGTTTCTATACCAGATTCTAATGTTTCTGCTCTATGTGACTTTTTTCCTTTTATATGGAAATCCACTGCAATTAAGTACTGTATTTAGGAGTACAAATTCCATCTATTCCCAGTTCTCTATGATTTAAATTAAAAACCCCTGTTGTCATTAGTAAATACTAAACTTAGTGAAATGGCGAACTTTGAAACACTCTTGGTTCAGACAGATGGCACTTTAAAAAAAATGGACATCCTACCTTGTATTCTTTATGTTTTTCAAATGTACCCTTAGATACCCCACAGACCATTTTTATCTTCCTGAAATCTTTATTTTTGCAATACACGTGGGCGGGCTCTCAGGGTAGAATTGGATACTAGATCTTTGGGAGGGGTAGGTTTACCCCATTTGGGCTACCACCCCTCCACTGGCCTCCACTCAGTGTCCTCCACCCCTCTCTGCCAATCCCTCCACTGGCCTCCACTCAGTGTCCTCCACCCCTCTCTGCCAATCCCTCCACTGGCCTCCACTCAGTGTCCTCCACCCCTCTCTGCCAATCCCTCCACTGGCCTCCACTCAGTGTCCTCCACCCCTCTCTGCCAATCCCTCCACTGGCCTCCACTCAGTGTCCTCCACCCCTCTCTGCCAATCCCTCCACTGGCCTCCACTCAGTGTCCTCCACCCCTCTCTGCCAATCCCTCCACTGGCCTCCACTCAGTGTCCTCCAACCCTTTCTGCCAATCCCTCCACTGACCTCCACTCAGTGTCCTCCACCCCCCTCTCTGCCAATCCCTCTACTGGCCTCCACTCAGTGTCCTCCACCTCTCTCTGCCAATCCCTCTACTGGCCTCTACTCAGTATCCTCCACCCCTCTCTGCCAATCCCTCCACTGGCCTCCACTCAGTGTCCTCCAACCCTTTCTGCCAATCCCTCCACTGACCTCCACTCAGTGTCCTCCACCCCTCTCTGCCAATCCCTCTACTGGCCTCCACTCAGTGTCCTCCACCTCTCTCTGCCAATCCCTCTACTGGCCTCTACTCAGTATCCTCCACCCATCTCTGCCAATCCCTCCACTGGCTTCCCATTGCCCAATGAACAAAAATTCAAAACATTAACAATAACATATAAAGCCATTTCTAACTCTGCCCCAAATCACATCACCGATCTTGTCTCTAAATATCACCCAAACTGTCCTCTCCGCTCCTTCCATGACCTCCTGCTCTCTAGCTCCCTTGTCTCCTCCTCCCATGTTTGTCTTCAGGACTTCTCCAGAGCTTCCCTCATCCTCTGGAACTCTCTACCCCAATCTGTCTATTGACTACTTGCCCAGTTTTAGGCGATCTCTGAAAACCTATCTCTTCAGGGAAGCCTCACCTGCCTTCAGCTAATAGCCGAATCTTCTATTTCTCCTATCAGTCCATCCCCCACAGTTATTACCTTTTGGACCACCAGCCCCTCCCTCTTAGATTGTAAGCTCCAAGGATCAGGCCCTTGTATCCCTCTTGTATTGAACTGCATTGTTGCTGTATTGTCTCCCGTTATATTGTAAAGTGCTGAGCAAACTGTTGGTGCCATAAATCCTGTATAATAATAATATATAAATCCTGTATATAATAATAATATATAAATCCTGTAAAATAATAATAATAATATATAAATCCTGTATAATAATAATATATAAATCCTGTATAATAATAATATATAAATCCTGTATAATAATAATAATATATAAATCCTGTATATAATAATAATCTATAAAATCATGTATAATAATAATCTATAAATCCTGTATAATAATAATCTATAAATCCTGTATAATAATAATATATAAATCCTGTATAATAATAATTGTTCAAAACAGTTCTAATTCCGAAAGCATTCTAATTTACTGAATTTTTTTTACACCTGCACCTAAAACTTTTGCACAGTATTATTATTATTATTATTATACAGTATTTATAAAGCGCCAATAGTTCGCTCAGCGCTGTACATTACAGAGGGGGACAGAACATGTGGCAGAACAATAACAATACAATGCAAAACATGAGATCAGTAGTGTGTATCACTTTTTAACTGTTTATTGGTGATATCCCTTTTTCATATACACAATTTATTTAGTGTGCAGAAATTACAATATTGCATTGTGTAGCACTACCAAGTAGGAAACAGAGTATGTGTATAAAGTGAAAAATATGGTTGCCCCCATGTAAATAGGTAATGCAAACTATACATAGAAAAATGTTTTTTTCAATATTATAAATAGACATTGATAAGATTATTTACATTAAGTGTATCTAAATATACATGTATAATGCTGTATTTCTTTTACTCTTGTATCTAGATTGGAATTGAAATCTGCTGGACTTTTCCGATGTTCGGAGACAGGAATTAAATTCCAAGTGAGACGTCCAGTAACAATGGAATATGAATTGGATTCCTGGTATAATTACATAGAGTTTCTCCATTATCAAGGATCGGAAGTATTGGGACCTCTGTTCAACATTAAGACACCTCAAGATCCAAACATAGTGTCTGCTGTGTACCTACCTCATTATGTGTGTTTGAAAGGTATGTTGTAAAGTTACAAAAATTTCCCAGCAGCAGATAAATCTCAATTCTCACTTGCAGCTGCTTGTCTATGGGCACTAACACCTGACTTATAACCTGTCCTGTGTTATATATACGCTCTTACAATATGTAGACTATGTAGGAACTACTCAGAGGATTTGGGAATACATGAACATTTACACTTGAGTACTAGTTATGGAAGTTCACAAATTATAATCTTTTAAGTTCAATGAACACATTACAAAATTACAAACGCTGGATATTATGCACCCTACTTCTATAAGTTACCCTATATTGAGTGAATAACTCAAGTGAATTCACTATACTCTAGACCAGCAATGGGCAAACTACGGCCCGCCTGCCGTATACGGCCCGGCGGACCTTTTAATCCGGCCCGCGGATGTGGCTGTCAGGATGTGTGTAGGCGGGGCAGCGTGACGAACGTGAGGGGAGGGGAGCTAGGCTCCTCTCACAGTCCGCCCTGAAGACCGGAATGGCGCGGGAACACGGCGAGAGGAACGCGCGGAGCAAAGGTAAGTGAATTGACACAGGGGGGACTTAGGGACTTAATATGGGGGATAATTAATATGGGGGATGAATTACTATATGGGGGATGTATTACTATATGGGGGATGAATTACTATATGGGGGATGAATTACTATGGGGGATGAATTACTATAGGGGGGATGAATTACTATGGGGGATGAATTACTATATGGGGGATGAATTACTATGGGGGATGAATTACTATATGGGGGATGAATTACTATATGGGGGATGAATTACTATATGGGGGATGAATTACTATATGGGGGATGAATTACTATATGGGGGATGAATTACTATGGGGGATGAATTACTATAGGGGGGATGAATTACTATATGGGGGATGAATTACTATATGGGGGATGAATTACTATAGGGGGGATGAATTACTATAGGGGGGATGAATTACTATATGGGGGATGAATTACTATGGGGGATGAATTACTATGGGGGATGAATTACTATATGGGGGATGAATTACTATATGGGGGATGAATTACTATGGGGGATGAATTACTATATGGGGGATGAATTACTATATGGGGGATGAATTACTATATGGGGGATGAATTACTATGGGGGATGAATTACTATATGGGGGATTAATTACTATGCTTACTATGGGGGAATATTACTATACTTACTATGGATGACACATACACATCATTCATCTACTCTTGGTCCGGCCCCGGGTCCAATATATGAACCCATTGCGGCCCTCAAGTCAAAAAGTTTGCCCACCCCTGCTGTAGACATTACATTTGTCCTTACAACTATCTCTGGAATTTAGCCTACATTGAAAACTTTGCTCTAGATCAATAACTTCTACTCAAATAATGTCATTTTAAAGTCAAGATATTTGTATTGTCATTAACCCTGGTAGTTTTGTTTTTGCTGTCTATGTCTCTGCTAGGTAGATTCACCATCTCTCTTAGTCCTCCTGACCATTAACACTGGGACAGAAAGTGATGTGAATCCAATTACCAAAACAGGAATAGAGGGGAGATTTTACTTCAGTGACAGCTGTCTAAGAGGGGGTTTCCCACAATTGACCAAGCTTTCCCCTCACTTCTTGATGTTTGAAGCTCCCTAATGGGACCAGATGGCAAAAAAATGGCTCCCCAAGCAAATCTCATGATCTCTGCAGACAGACCACTGGTTCCTCACAGACAGCAAGGGTCTTTCTCTGCAGTATACTGGCAGAAGACAGTCTTTTTCTACCCAGATTGTGGCTGTCTTCTAAAGTGAAAAAGTGTAAGACTTTGCACACCACTTTGCTCACCTTTTGTTTTGATGCAACTGAAATTTTGTTAGCCAAATTAAACTAAGGGTTTATGTGGGCTTGAACCTTTTTACTGCCACCTTTAGCTCCTAATATTATGTATTGCCCCCTTTTATAGTCTTTTGTGATAGTTGTGAATAAGGCCCTTCATTTTATCATGAAGTAAAGTCACCCATTCGTTTTTTGCACAAACCCTCCAGGTCCTGTAAATTCCCTGAACTACATGTTTTAGGTCTCCCCAAAGTTCCCAAATGATGTTAAGGTCAGGAGATTGGGATGGCCACTCTAGAACCTTCACCTTTTTCTACTACAGCCACTGTAGGGTATTTTAACCTTTTTAGCCTTGTAACTGGGTTTATTGTCTTGTCGGAAAGTGCAAGCACACCCCTGTGCAACTCCAGGAATGTAAATTTCCTCCAATATTTTTCGATAACATGATTTATTTATCTTGTTATCAATTTCTCTAAATTCCCTATGGTGCTGTAGCCCACACACCCCTAAAACAGGAGAGATCCACCCACATGTTTCATCATAGGCATGGTGTAGAATTTTCTGAGACACGTATAATACTTCTTTAGGCGATTTTGGAATTAAAGAGCCGTTGAAATAAAATTTTTTTTTATTTTATCACACAATGGCTTAAAATAACAAAGTAAAGCGTATCGTGAACAGTTCCAGAAATATCAAAGCAGAAGTTTAAAAATTGTGTCACCCTTATTGTCATGGCTGTCCGGCCATGTGGTTCTTGTCTTGTTCAACGCAGCTGAGTCCGAGCAAGAAGAAGGAAGTGACGTGATCTTAGGTCTCTAAGAGAATGCACCTGTTTCAGCTTCTCAGTATGTGAATAACGACAGCGTCTTTAGTGTGTGAGTGTGTGTCCGCATCTCCTAGGATGCCTATTTATGATACTTGTAAGCATCATAATTCGTGATCTTAGAACCTTGTATGGCAAACAATACTGCTTACATTGAAGGTAGGGGATGCTACATATATGGTCTTTTGATTGATAGGCCCATATGTAGTGACCATAAATTGACCATGTTACATCAGCCTGCTCATATTTAAATGATAATATAAATTAAGAATGTATCTTTACAACATCTCAATAATGTTGTATAACCAGAAATCTACATATAAAACAAACTAAAGCAAACTAAATACACACAGATACTATTAGTATATATTATGTCATACTTATTCTATTTTGATTCACTTCTAACACCCTTGACATTCTACACCAGAGTCCTGTAACCAGCTATGCCAGGGGTGGGCAAACTTTTTGACTTGAGGGCCTCAATGGGTTCATATATTGGACCCGGGGGCCGGACCAAGAGTAGATGAATGATGTGTATGTGTCATCCGTAGTAAGTATAGTAATATTCCCCCATAGTAAGCATAGTAATTCATCCCCTATAGTAATTCATCCCCCATATAGTAATTCATCCCCCATATAGTAATTCATCCCCCATAGTTATTCATCCCCCATATAGTAATTCATCCCCCATATAGTAATTCATCCCCCATAGTAATTCATCCCCCATAGTAATTCA